TTTATTGACCTTATTCCAAGGCTGTGGAGTTTTAGAAAACAATGGCAGATTATTTTCAGGCAAATCCTGAATTATCTTTCGTTATTTTAGACTGGAATTTAACACATTCATGATTTTTCATTTATTTCTATATTACTATTTTAATATTATTTGTTTTAAGATTATTAATATTATTATGACTTGGTGAGAGATGTGAAGGTTTTCAACATTAAAAAATGTGTTTTAATGATTATTTCTAAATGCTTTTATATGGGGCTTTTATTAAATTATGAGATGTGAACTTTTATCTTAGTCCATCAAAAAGTAAATGAATGAATGAATGTGAATGAGTGAGCCATTTGGAAAATAATCAAACTTGCACCGACACTGAGAGAATCTTTAAAATAGGATTTCATGTGTCTGCATGTCACTGCAGAGTTTTCATGATAGTGTGAATAGAAGAAGAAGAAGAAGAAGAAGAAGAAGAAGAAGAAGAAGAAGAAGAAGAAGAAGAAGAATTCATAGCTCTGCAGTAAATACCAGGAATAATGCTGCACTTGTTGTTGCCTCAGCTCATCTTTATCAGTTCAATGGTAATCTTTAAGCCTCAGAGAAAGACAACACACTCTCTTGTATTAAAGCAGAGCTACACACTCTCCACTGTGATTAGGAGGTGTTATAATAATTGTCAGTCACATCGACAAAGTATTTTTAAATCAAACTTTTCCATCAATACACATCTCAGCGACATTTCAAAAAGTCAGACTTTAACCCAAAACAATGTGTAATTCTCCTCACACAAACACACACACACACACACACACACACACACACACACACACAAGCACACACACACCTAACGAGTCATTTCCTAATGCGTGACTGCACGGCGGCATCAAAACAAATGTGGAGTTAATGTTGGGACAAAAGCAATTAACACAAACACCACACACAGATAATAAGCTGCGGCTGCAGACTGGAGTAAACCTCTCAGTGTTTGTGTGCACGGCCTCAAACTCATGTATGAATGAGTGTATTAGTTTTTTTTTAATGCACATATCAACATTTGTATATGTGTGTGTGTGTGTGCCACTTAAGTGTAAATGACTTGAGGAGGTCGCGGAGTTCTGTGCAACACAGTGGGTGGAGGCGCTCACATTTTTAGAGGATCATGTAATTGACCCCAATTTCCCTGCAATAACCGCGGCCGTGTGGATAAACAGCCATTAAAATAGTCCCAGCTGTAATTACACAATACGGCTCGAATGACCGACCGGCTTCCTCCGTGGATCAAACTCAGACTCTTTAAAAGGGGACAGAAGTAACCAGCCTACATTACCCAGCAGGAAAGTGCTAATGTATCAAGAGGATGGCAGGGGGCGAGACCACCAGGAAGCTAAATTAAAAGAGAAGAACAACAGAAAGTGGTCGATGGAGACGGACGTTTTCCCTCCTGTTGGTGAAGTTTTCTTCTCTGATGAGGGAGGGGCGGAGGAAAATGTGGGCCAGTGTACGGTTAGCTGCTTGAAAGCGAATACTCAAAGATTAAAGCTGCTAAGATCCAATATCCTCAGTGTAGTATCCAGTGTAACTGAGACTGATGCTGGACTTTTGAGTGCGATATGGAAATTTGAGTTATTCTAACATCTGATACTGTCGATGGCAATGTGGGTCTGTTGGTCGGCCCGGCAACATCTCAGCGACAACTGGATGGATTGCCGTAACATTTCACACTCATGCCTCCACAGGATGAACCTTGGTGACCCCCTGACCTTTCATCCAGTGCCACCATGAAGTGGACAGTTGTGGTTTCAAGTGAAATATTGTCACAACTACTGGATGGATCGCTATGAAATTTTGTTAAGATATTCTCTTTTTTTTGGGCATTTTTATGCTTTTATTGGATTCGAATTCGGACGCCCATGTGGTTATGCACCCTAACCACTCGGCTATTGAGTCGCCCCCATCGCAATGATATTAGGTACAGACATTTACGCCTCCCTCTCAGGATGAACTGTAATAACTCTGGTGAACTGGTGACCAAGTTTCATGTCCAATACTTTTGGTTTATCTCCACATTCCTGCAAAAACTAAAGACATTCCTTTCAGGCTCAGCTGTGCTTTGTGTTTTGTGCTAATTAGCAAATGCTAGCTTACTGAAATAATACAATAACTTGGAGCAATAATTTACAAAGATGGTGAACATTGACATTAGTAGCTAAACAGTGTCACAGTGAGTATGCCGACACGCTGATGTTACCGTTCAGCTGCTGGCATCACTCTGCACTCTTTCCTCCAGTTCCTCCCAAGTGAATAAAACGGCGCTTACGATAACAATGAAATACTGCGCCATGACTTCAAGCAACGCCCCAACAACGCGCCTGACCACACCTCATTTTAAGACCAAGATGCAGATGGACGCGGAAAACGACAACTGTGGTCTGAACCAGCCGTCACTGAGATGTGAACCGTGTCGGACAAACCATGACATGCCAACAACTGATTTCCGTGTTGCAACTTCTTGTTGTTTATCAGCCGTATTCAACAACTCTGAAATGTCTGAGAGATTTTAAGAGTCAGCTGCTGATATTTATCGATCGATGAGGTTTTTATTCAAAGTATCCGGGTGTCTGGTCGGGTTGCATGCAAAAAGAACAACTCTGGTTTGATTGATTGCTGCTGCAGACTGTTCTCCACTGCTGTTTTCAAGTTGAGATATTTGCGTTTTTTTTTTGTTTCTCACTAATAAATGGGCCGAGGGCAAGAATCATCATCATGCTGAAGTCGTTCCTTTCTGGGCAAAATTAAAAATAAAAAACATGCCTCTAAACTACATTACCTTTCTTCTCCCTTTGGCATCCTTTAGCATATAGCATCACAGGGGCCCGTGGCTTAACATGAGCCTGCTGTGTCGAGTGTACTGATGTAAACACAGGATCTTTAAAATTCAAACAGTTGACTCAGCTATTTCTGCGAGTTTCACCGAACTTTAAAAGTCCAGACAAACTATAAAAACTCTCTTGTGGGTGGGGGTGGGGGGGTGGGGCTCTGAAACAGCGTTTAGAGCACATGGGACACGACTCACAACTGAATGTCACACTAATGAAATTAGTTAGATCGTTGGAGGCTCGGAGAGAGAGAGAGAGAGAGAGAGAGAGAGGTTTGCACTGGTCCTTCTGTCTTTAAACTTTGCTTTTATTTCTTCTCCACTTGATCACTTAGCATCGGCGGTGGCCACGGCTCTCTCATCTTATCCCTCTCTCCAGCCCATTGGAGAGTGGGTGTAATTACGATAAAAGCTCGCCCACCCGGTCCGCCCTCCCCCACCCACCTCTTTTGTCTCTGCCGTGCCTCCGACATCAGCGGCGGCGGTCCCCCTCCGTACAATCACCTCGCTCTCACCCCTTCTTCCCCCGTCTCTCTCTTGTTCTCCAGCGACTGATGTCACTTAGCTGACACAGCAAAAGCTCCCTGAAATAATCGCTGCCAATCAAGTCCTTAGAGACATTAAGGAAAAGAAACGGAGAGCGATGAAGATGGAGAGAGGAGTCCCGGCCTTTCGCCAAAAGACACGTCATAATTGAGGCAAGTAGGGAGCCAGAACTTTATCCTCCCTCTCTCTCTCTCTCTCACAAACGCAGGGCGGCTGCCAGGAGATGCCAGGTTCTATAAGTGAGAGGTCAGTGAGTGTGTGAGACGTTACGTCAGGGAGCGTCCCAACACTGGCACGACACCAGTGGAGACTGGACTGACCTCGAGAAACCACTTAAGAACTTCACTTAGAAAAATCACTTGATTTGGATCAGCCCGATATAACACGACGACCTCAGTGCCGCCAGCACACGGCGGGATCAATCTCAGGTCATCTCGTTACCCGATGAACGTCCACACAACATAATCAAGCAGCCGTGATAATACGAGTT